GGAAAAACACGGAATTTGGCTAGATACAGTCTTCCAAGTCCATTTCCCCGCCACTGTGCTTTAAAACAGGTCTTTTTTCTTCTGTAGAGATGAAGTCTTGCTGTGTTGGCCAGGCTGACCTTGAATTCCTAGGGTCAGATCCTCTTGCCTCAGTTTCAGAATAGCTGGGACTAGAATTCCCTCCACCTCATTTGATTAAACATTCAAATCTTGGTTGCCATATATCTTTATACATGGCTTTACTGTTACCCTATATTTTAAAATTCCTATTTTAAAAAAAAATCACTTAAACTGTTGGTTTTTTTTTTTTTAATATAAAGTTTGACTTACTTGATTCTACCAGAGGTATCACTACTGAGTATAAATTTAAATTTTTTTATTATAAAAGTTTCGGGCATATACAAATATCTAGAAGAGCCTATCTGTTTTCTTGGATATAAAAGCAAAGAGAGCATCATTGGGGTTGAGGGAGATCTTGTAAATCTTGTAATTTTCAGTTGTAGTGAAGAGCTTGCTTTAGTTTTATCCTATTTAGGTTATAGGTGACATTTGAGCAATTCAGAAGGAGAATTCTAGCTTTTAGTGAGAGGTGGTCACTTTGTCCAGTTAGTGGAGATTTTTTTTTTTTTTAATGGTACCAGGCATTGAACTCAGGACCTTGCACTTGCCAGGCAAGCACTTATTCCACTGAGCTATCTCCCCGGCCAAAAGTCCCCCCCCCCCTTTTTTTTTTTGTACTGGGAATTGAACTTAAGACCTTGAGCTGGCCAGGCAGGTGTGTGCCACTGAGTTACATCCTCAATGGGAGATTGTATTTCTCCATTTTAGCCAGTGGCTTTGTTGCTTTGGTACACATTTTGAACCTTTGAAGAAACTTGGCCATCTTTGAGGATGGGATTGGGGAATGGTTGGAGAGCAGTTCCTACCAGCATCATTGCACTCTGTTATCTGTCCATTTTTGTGCTGGCAAGACTTCATCTCAGTTTTTCTCTCTTAGGAAGAGGCTTTCTGGTCAGAGTGGGCATTTATTTAGCTGACTGAACAATTAGGATTGGGAGTAAAAAACAGAACAATTAGCATCAGGAGTAACTAAGAAACAATGAAATCCCTATCTGACAAAGGAGTGTTAAGGAAATAATAATGAGGAGTCTAGTGAGTTGGTGATGAAGTTGTTAGGTTCACTTTTCTGTATAGTATGGTAGTTTGACTTTCTTATTTATTTATTTATTTTTGGTAGTTTGACTTTCAACATGGATGCAGTTTCTGTTTCAACAGAATAGCTAATTAACATTTATATGGTATTGAATATGTGGCTGTGCCTGATAGACAGCAAGCCCAGAACCTTGCACATGGTAAACTGGCAGTGTGCTACTGAGCTATGCACTTGAGCCCTCAAGTATTTTCTTTAAAATGGGTAATTTAAAAATTAGCTTCTAAAAAATATTTTCTACCTAAAGTTTATTAACATCTAATGACTTCTCCTTCCTGAAATAGTGATTTCATTTCTTAGGTAGTGCATCCAAGCAGATCTGTATGAGTAATGTTTTAGAATCTTTTGATTCCATTTCATTTAATGTAATGTCTTATAAAATGCTGTAAAAGTTAAGGACTGTATCATTTTTAAAAAGCCATTCCTTTATTATGTAAGAGAGGACAGGTATTTCAAGATTTTTAAAAATAGGTGAGTAGAGTTTTGAATTCATTTCCATTATGACCTTGGACAAAGTCGATTATAATGTATGTGTTCTTATCTACTATAAAGGGATCTGCCACTGGCCTAGGGCTGCTGTCTAGATTAACTAACTAATTGATGGATTGTTTAAGGCGCTTAAACCCTAAAGCTTTATTTGTCCATTACTAAAGAGGCTAGGTACATGTTTAGTGAAACAGGTTAGTGCCAAATACGCATCCTTCATTTTCCTTAAAGGCAAAAGGAGTTATAAAAAAGTAAACTTTGAAAAGACAAAATGCCCAGCATCAAAAATAGAATATATAAAATGTCATTCCTCTGTTGTCTTAAGTGAAGTCTTTTTTTTGATAGATATATTACAGATTATTAAAGAACATTCACAGGTACATGTGTGTCTTGTAGAACATGCATAGCAGGAGTTTTGTTTGGTAAGCTTTGAGAAAAGTGTTCACCATAATTTTCATTTCCTTTAGTTTTGGATGACTTAATGTTGTAGAAGCCAAACAAATGAAAGGGTACTGTATTATATCTTATGTATATTATGTATGTAAATTTATATGTAAAATTTAAAGACTGTATCTATTTTTAAAAAGCCATGCCTCTTAGGCAGAGTGCAGGTTCCATACCCGGCATAAAGTGCCAGTCTTCCGGGGCACACTGAGATTACAGTTGAGACTGGGTGTGGTGGTGCACGTCTGTAATCCCAGCGCTTGGGAGGCTGAAAACAGGAGGATCACTACAAGTCCAATCTGTGTAGTGAGACCCTATAGTCCCTGTAGACCCTGTATCAAATGCATAAAAAAAGCCATTCCTTTATTATATAAGAGAGGACAGGTATTTAGAATTTTAAAAACAGGCAGGTAGAGTTTTGAATGCAATTCTGTCATGACGTTGGACAAAGTCAGTTTAAAACTCTCAGCAGTCCTGCCTCAACCTTCTGAGTGCTGGGGTTACAGGCATGTACTACCATGCCTGGCTCAAATACATCTTCTGTTACTGGACCTCCTGATTCTGTCCCTCTCTGTGTCTCTCTCTCTGTCTCTCTCTCTGTCTCTGTCTGTCTCTCTCTGCCTGTCTCTCTGTCTGTCTCTCTCTGTCTGTCTCTCTGTCTGTCTCTCTCTCTCTCTCTCCCCCTCCCTCCCTCCTTCTCTCCCTGGAGTCAAACTTGGGATTTAATGCTTTCGAGGCAGGTGCTCTGCCACTGAGTTACATCCCCAGACATTACAGCTTAGATGGATCTATATATACTGTGCTTCTGCTGTGACTTTTTTTTTTCTTTCTTTCTTTCCTTTTTTCTTTGCAGAACCGGGGATTGAACTCAGGCCCTTGCACTTGCCAGGGAAGCGCTTATTCTACTGAGCTATCTCCCCGGCCCTCTGCTGTGACTTTGATGTGATGTTTGTATGTATCTTGATTCATATAACTTAATAATGCTTTGTAAAATACTCCCTACTTTTTATTTACTAAATCACATTTTATTTTTAACCATTTATTTGTTTGGTACAGGATCTTGCTATGCAGCTTGGACTCTAGTGATCCTTCTGTCTCAGCTTCCCCAGTGCTAGGATTACAGGAATGCCCCACTCTACCTGGTTTCAGTGGCTGGCGTGGTGTGCTCTGGGTTCCAGGGCTGATGTGGCATGCGGTACCAGGATCAAACCTGCATTGCGGTCTATCTCCCCAGCCCCATAATCACATTTTTTTCTTTTTTTCTGAGACAGGGTCTTACTATGCAGTTTGGGCCGGCCTTGTGCTCGTTTTTGTAGCTCCCAGGCTGGTCTCGAACTCACAGAGATCCTCCTGGCCTCAACCTCCTGAGTGCTTGGATTACAGGCGTGTGCCACTATGCCTGGTTCCAAGGCCCCACAGTGGGTGTCTGCATCTCTGGGGCTGATATAGCACTCCTGGGCTTCTGGGGCTGAGATTGCGAGGCATGTGGGGCTGGGGATTGAACTTGGGTCCTTATGCTTGCCAGATAGGTGCTTATGCCTCTGAGCTATCTCTTTGGCCCCCATAATCACTTTTTCTTTTTCTTTTCTTTTCTTTGTATTTTAAAGTAGGGTCTACAGGGTGTTCAAGGTCTCACTACTATATTAGACTCATAGTGAGTGATCCACCTGTTTACAGCCTCCCCAAAGCTGGGATTACAGGTGAGCATCACCACACTGTGTCTCAGTTGCTGTGTCAGCACGCCCCAGGGGCGGGGCTGGCATAGCAGGCCCAGGGATCGAACCCCAGCTTGCAGGTGCTTTAATGGGCTCAGCTATTTGGCTGGCCCCATAATCACATTTTAAATCTTCAAATGTTAGGTATTTTAGTTGGGAGTAGACATTTAGGCTGATTTCTCTTCATAGGTATGTTCTTTGTGTGGGTCCAAGCAGACTTTTGTGTATTCTTGAGGTAATTCTTGCTATCACTGACTTGATAAAATTATAATATTCAGAGAACTAAGACCCAAACAAGTGTGTTTAAAGCATAGAGCTCTTTATTAAGCATGTATTCTTATGAAGTATTACTGTATACTATCTTTACTATTACTGCTATAGATACTGAGACATTACCATTTTACTTTCATCACATAATTCCAGAAACAAAAAACAAATCCCTGTGAAACCAACATACTTACAAGGTCTTTAAGGCACGATCCTCCTATTTTCTGTGTGGTTATACCAACTCACCATTTGGAGATATTTAAACCACATGACAATATATTGTCCTTGTCAGGATTTAACCTGGAGGAGAGAAACAGAGAGTAAGCTCTCCTAGGACTACTTATGGGGAAAAGGATGAGGTGGTGGATAATGAGAAAGGGCTGTGATGAATTGTCGCAGTATAGCTCCACTCTGAAAATTTCAGCTGTTTTTTTCATCCAGTGTTATGGTGCATTTTAGACAAATTGAGAACAGCCACCAGATTTTCCAGTGGGGAGCTGACTTGAAAGACTTGTACAGGGTGTGGTTTGATTCTTTTTTTTTTTTTTTTGGCAGAACCGGGGATTGAACTCAGGCCGTTGCACTTGCCAGGGAAGCGCTTAGTCCACTGAGCCATCTCCCTAGCCCTTGCATAGGTTGTGGATTTGGGGTTTTTAAATATTGTACTTGATGGTAGTCCATTCCTCTCAATTCCTCTGTAACCCTTGCCCCAATTAATCTTGTGTCTTCTCATCCTACATTTTAAAAATACATCTTTTTTTTTTTTTTTTCTTTGTGGTACCGGGGATTGAACTCAGGCCTTCCACTTGCCAGGCAGGCGCTTATTCTACTGAGCTACCTCCCCAGCCCTAAAAATATATCTTTTTTTTTTTTTTTCCACTGTTTCAGTCTATATAACAGCCTATCTCACAGTGGGGAGAATGCTGGAATAGGTTAGACTTTCTTGCTGTAGCAAGCTCAAATTGTTAAAAATATATTTGACTTATGTAATAGATAGTTAATTACTCATCAAGACTTTTTAAAAAGGGAACAGGGCTTAAAACTAGACTTTTGGATTCTAAAATGATTTTTTTCGGGAGTGGTATGAACTAGTATAGGCCTTCCGCCACAGCAACCATTGAAGAACAGCAGCCATGGCCCTCATTATTCCATGGCCATGGGCCTCAACAAGAGCCCCAAGGTGACTATGTGAGCAAACCGAGGCACAGCCACCCTTGCGGATGCCTTACCAAACACACCAAGTTCATGTCGGACATGATCCAGGAGGTGTGCACCTTCGCACCCTGCGAGCTGCAAGTCATGGAGCTGCTCAAGGTCTCCAAGGACAAACATGTCCTCAAGTTCATCAAGAAAAGAGTGAGGACACGCATATCTGTGCAAAGAGGAAGAGTGAGGAGCTGAGCAACATGCTCGCCGCCATGAGGAAGGCAGCTGCCAAGAAGGACTGAGTCCCTCTGGAATAAAGCTTTGCAGAAAAAAAAAAAAAAAAGGAATTTGTTACAGTTCTGGTAGAATTTTATCTTCATAGTTCTGGAGGATGCAGAGTCTTAAGATCTAGGTTCTAACAGGTATGATGTTTACTAGAGATGGGGACTGAATCTCTGTTTCTGTCATGATTCCTTGAGGAGAGGACCCAAGGATTGAAATCACAGTAGTCAGATAAACAGTGTATAGGGTAAACCAAACTGCATATATTGCAGGTTAATAACAAGCTTCTCTTCTGGAGGGTTAACAATCTAAGTTTGCAGATCAAAAATTGGAGAAAAGGAAGGGCTGCAAGGTCAGCCAACATTTTGGCCCTAGCCTCTCAAGGTCAGTGAAGACTCAGGACATAGGAGAACCTGTACTGTAACATCATGTAACTGAGTTCAAAAATTGTTGTGCTCCAAATATTCTGATCAAGATTATGAGCCACAGAGGAATGTGATCAATGATGTATAGTGTGCCTGGGGAGAGTCACATGGAGAGAAAAAACATTTTCTCAGGCTTTCACAGAGAGCAAATTGGTCAAGCAATGGCTGTGATTCATCCTCATGGCTGACACTGACAAAGGATCTACAAAGTGCGGTACAGGGCTTCAGGATAAATCTTGAGGGTACTTGACTGACCTTATCAGATACAAAAGTTACATTTCTTGCTATATAGGTCTTGCTTTATTTTGGTCTTAACCATCCAGCAGAAAAGTATAAAAACAAGGTATATAAAGTAAAGCCATATTAATATGATGAAGTGTAAAAGGCTCAAGTCAATAACTTCTGAGGATAACCCACTAATATTATAGACTGCTAGACAGTGTTGGATTGTTTTGTTTAGTTCAAACATCTATAGTATTTAGATGCCAATAGAATATCCACCTCTGACAGGACTAAACCATAAAAAAGGGATACAAAGGAAAGATCATTTTGTATTTATATATACAAAATAGGATAGATATACAGCTACTTTTGCTTAATTCAATGAGAAGAAAGATGTGTACTAATAGTGTTTGGACAGGATAATCCTGTCGGCTTCTTGTACTGTGGATAACCACTAAGAAGATAACAGTGTACAATGTATTGATTATCGAAACTCTCCTATTAATCAGCTTTGAAAATGTCTCATTCATATTTTTTTCTCAAATTAAAAAAAATAAATACAATGTAGACTGGCATTTTGCCTGTTTAGTGCTCAATGTTTAGTGGAGTCAACTGAATGATTTCAGGTGTTTCATTTATTTATTTTTAATTTTTTTGGCCAAACAAGGGATTGAACTCAGCCTTGTACTTGCCAGGAAGTGCTTATTCTACTGAGCCATCTCCCTGGCCCCCAATTTCAGGTTTAAGTTCAATCTTTTTATTTCACATGTGGCGGTTAGAGATCATACTTATTGTACCAAAAACTATTTTTATTGATTGATTTGATTGACTAACAAAAAGTAGGCTTTGAAGTCATTGCAGTACAACTTGGCCTGGAACCTGAAGTGGTTCTTCTGTCTTAAGACTCACAGGCATGTACTGCTACATTCAGCTATGTTGTCATTTTTAGTGTTAGGCTTACATTTCATGTGTCTTTGTTTTGTTTTTCCGGATGGTGGTGGTGTGTTAATATAGACTGAATCCTATACCACTGAATTAGTGGTATCTACCGAATTGTGTGTGTGTGTGTTTTAGGGGGCCTTGGGTCAAGTCCAACGTGCTTGTCTTTGTTACTTTTCTTGTTTCTGAGACAAAATGCCCAACACCCAAAGTTTAGGAAGAAATGTTTATTCCAGCTCACAGTTTGTAGAAATTGTGGTCCTTAGTGGCTGGCTCCAAGACAGGGTAGCCTGGCAGAGGGGCATCGCAGAGGAGAAAGAGTCTACAGCAAACAGAGACTGCCAAACAGCAAGAGCAGCCACAGACAGCTTTTATACCTTTTAGACTACTCACCTTTTGAGTGGTACCAGCATATCCAGGTTGGACTTCCCCATTATCCATACTACAACTTTGCTAAACCAATCAGAGCACTAATTTAGTAATCTCACACCTTTAATCCTAGGATCACAACTCCCTAGTTCCAGCCACTTCTGAAAAACTTCACCTATGACTACTTGAGGCTTTGGTGGACATCTAGATGCAAGCCATAACAGTGCTATATCACTGATATGTAGCTACTGTGTGTCCCCGTCCTTTTTTCTTTTTTTAATTTTGAAACAGGGCTCACTAAATTCGAAGGTAGGATTTGAACTTGTAACCCTAGGGCCAGCCATCTAGCTCAGAGGATTAAAGCTCCTACTTAGGCAGTCGCAGGGGCTGGGAGTTCAGTCCCCTGGCCTGCCATGGTGGCCTTACCCCCAAGGTGCGCTGAGATGGATTGAGACTGAGCGTGGTGGCGCTCACCTGTAATCCCAGCACTTGGGAGGCTGTAAACAGGAGGATCACTATGAGTCCAATCTTTGCAGTGAGACCATGTACACCCTGTCCTAAATACAAAAAATAAAAATGAACTTGTAATCCTACTGCCTCAGCCTCCAAAAATATTCTTTTTAATTTATATTTTGAGACATGATATTGCTAAATTAGCCAGGCTTTCCTCAAACTTCAATCTTGCCTCAGCCTCCTGAGTTGCTAAGATTATGGGTGTGGGCTGTGGTGGTATATCTTAATTATAACAGTGCTAACTAGCTGTTAAGTATTTGTATCTAGAGGAATACATGGCTATTTCCCCTTCATTTAAATTTTTCCTTTTATTTATTTTTTTTAATAATAATTGGGATTGAACAGAGTGCTTTTGTGCTGAGCTGCATCTCCAGCCTGATCTAAAAAAGTTATTTTTGAGGCAGGGCTCGCTAAATTACCCAGGCTAGACTTGAATTTTTGAACTGCCTCAGTCTCCCAGAGTGCTGGGATTATAGATGTGCATTACACACATCTTTGCCTTTCCTTTCACTTTAAAATAAAATAGAATTTCAAAAGGTCTTTAGATGGGAAAATCTGCACAATGAAGATTTTATAGTTTGTTAATATCTTTCATTGGGTTCACCCTGATTTCTAGTTTCATTGAACCTGACTTTGAATCCTCAGGAATGTCTAGTCTGTAAAGGACCAAAGGTAGGCCATGTTAATGAAGTCTTCAAGTTAGGGTGTGGGCTGTTTAATTTTCCCTGCCCTTGGTGCCCAGATAAGTTTGAGAATTGCTTAGGGTAGGGAGCAGAGTCCAACCTCTTTCCTAAACCATTTCTCCCTCTTTGAAAACAAATCATTCTTGGTATCTTTTTTGGTATTTTCTTAATCTTGGCAGCTTCCGTTTCGGCTAAACATTGTTTTTTCTTAATTAGTGTCCTAAGTATGGGAGAAAACAGATCAAAACTAATTATATAATAACTTCTCTTTCGGAGAAAACTGTGACATTATATAGCTACTTGATTCTCACATGGTTTGGTGCAAGCATATTGAAGTGATACTGCACCACTTATAATTACAGTAGGAGAGATGGATCTGAGATTTCTTCTGGTCCCATTCAGGTACATGTCTATCAGTGACCTAAAAGAAATAATGGTTCCCGTTCACTTTTTCTTTTTCTTTCTTTTTTTTTTGGTGGAACTGGGGATTGAATTCAGGCCCTTGCACTTGCCAGGCAAGCGCTTATTCTACTGAGCCATCTCCCCAGCCCCCTTGTTCACTTTTCATGATTAGACCACAACATAATGGCAGCCCATTTAGGTGGAAGATGATTTGTTCTAGAAATTTAGTGTCCTCTTGGTCATTTGTTTTGTTTTTGCTTGTTTGTGACACAGGGTCTTGCTATGTAGTTCAGGCTGGCCTCCAACTCACAGCAGTCCTTCCTCAGCCTCCTGAGTATTGGGACTGCAGATTAGTGCCATCATGTCCAGCCTGTAGGTTTTTTTTCATAACGAATTGAATTCAGGAACTTTTGCTTGCCAAGCAGGTACTTGGCCACTGAGCTATATCCCTGGCCCCCAGCCTGTTTAAATTTATTTTCCATAATTTTTTTTGAGAAACAAATAGCAATGAGACACTTTCAAATTCAATTAGTAGGACAGTTTCAATAATTAATACATTGCATATTGTTGTCTTAGTGGTTATTCATTGTACAAGATGCAGACATGATATCCTGTTTACAAACACTCTTAAAACAAATCTTTAATTCATTGGATTAAGAGAATTAGCTGTATATCTATCCTATTTTGAATATACAGATACAAAATGGTTGTTTATTTTTATCCCTTTTTTTTTTTTTTTTTTTTTTTTAGTTTTGTCATTTAAATATTACAGGTGTGTGAATTCAGCAAAATATTCCAAAATAGTCCAGTAGTTCATAATAGTAGCGGGTTTTCTATAAGACAAGCCTTTTAAAATTTTAAGAGAGCATTGCATTATAGGCCTGTGAGGATACATATGCCAGCATCTGTGTGAGTTCTTCCAGTAGATAATTTTTTTTCTTTAGGGGAAATAACAAGAGAATAAAAAAGTATCTATGCAGACTCTTTACCTTGCTTATTCTATTATTTATAAACAAAATAAT